CTAACCTCTACAAAAGTTCTCTGGTCCTTCTGCCCTCTCTCCTCCTTGTTAAAGTCTTCTGTGCCCCTCCCCCACCCCAACTCTTCAGATCCTCTCCGTCTTTCTGTCTCTCTCACACTGAAGCTCTTCCATCTTCATTCTTCCTAGTAACCAGGAGAATAGAGATATCCTTTGAGCCCCTTTACCTCTTCTCTTAGGTGGGAGAAGAGCTCACACTTTGTGTCTGGATAACTTTCTTTGTCTTAGACAGAAAGACAAACATCTTCCAACATACACATATTGCTGCAAAACTTGCAGATGTCCATGCTTGCTGGAAGCAAGATCCTGAGTCTTTTTCTTTATAGTGGTTCTTGTGGCTAACTTATCTGATGATTCAAACCTTTCATTTTTCTGATGAAAAAACTGAAGCCCAGAGAGAAGAAAGGACTTACCCATGGTCCAGACGTAGTAGCAGAGCCCATATTCAAACCCAGGTCTTCTGACTCCAAATCTAGAGCTTTTTTCCCTTGCTCTATTTAGGGTCCTAATTAAGCCAAGGATACCATTTTTGAAACATTCTCTTGGAATAGTTGGAATAATAGTTTAAGGAAGGGCTTTTTCAGATGTACAGATTCCTTAAGTAAAGTCAGTCAGTCAATCAATAAATATTTATTAAATGCCTATTATGTTCCAGACATTTTTTTAAGTGCTAGAAATGAATTCTGTTTGGCAATTTTTATTGGGACCTGTGACAATGAAGATCAGTACTCCTGCAATTTTAGCCTTACAGAATTGCCTTGGGTACTGAAATGTTAAGTGGCTTACCAAGAGCTACCAGACAGATGTGGGACCTGAAGGCAAATCTTTATGATCTCAGGCCAGGTCCCTAACCACTATCCCATGCTGCCTCTTGTTTTAGCAAATATACTGTCTCAATTAGAGTGTATCTTCCCTTGTTTGGTTTCTCTTTCAGGATCCAAAAGGCTACTACTCATTCTTGCTTTAGAAACTCTATGACTTCTCAAACAACGGACATCAAAAAGTCCTCAGGGTACCTATGTAAATTCTGCAAATAATAGTTCTACATTCTCTGGATCATCTCAAGATTCCCATTTCTTTGGCCTTCAGCAAGTTAATGAACTTCACTTGTCTTTAAAGGAAGAATGATATTTATAGCCCTGGCAGGAATGGTTGATTAACTGATATTAATAATTGTGTTCAATTAGATTCAATAAAAATGTATTAAGTACCTACCCTGTGCAAGGTACTGTGCTAGGTAGGTGCTGGTGACACAGAGACAAAAATGAAATATTTTTGCTCTCAAGAAGCTTACAATCTAATGGGAGAATTCAATAAGTACACGGATAAATATACACAAGGTCATTTAAAGAGTAGAGAAAGCACTTGCCTTAGTGATGGGGAGAATACTACTGCTGCCATACTCTCAGCTTCACGGAACATTTCTTAGAAATAAAAAGGTATTTTACTATTCAGCACAGATTGCTACCCTTTAGGTCCAGGATGGGTTCTTTTGGATCATTTTGGTTATGCCACGCTCCATTCTCTAGATTATCAATAGACCAGGAACTATAAATCAAATAGCAATGATTTTAATTAGGACATAATGGCAAAGTATATAAGGAAAAGTCCCCCCCCCAAAAAAAGGGACCAATATCTCACAAACTGCTATGCCCCTGGTGAGAAAGAGAATATACTCCAGGGGAAATTCAGTCCTAAGACTGAATTCTGCCTTTGCAGTTATCAAATGCTGTTTCCCTGAAGGGTCGTTGCAGTCATCTTTGGCTGAGCTGCCTCTTCCCCACAGAGCTACTGCCAAAGGCTGAAGCTGTTACTGGTTTCTTGGGTTTCTCTCTCAAAGTGAGTGTTCATTGCTCTTTCGTAACACTGGCCGTGCCTATGGCTATTTTAACTCTTTTTGTTAGTTGGCACAGAATAGAGCCACTCAGGTAAAAACGTTTCTTAACCTCCTCATTCCTTCTCAGTAGAAATTCCTGCAGACCTACTAGATATTCAGGTTGGGGTGAAGTGACTACATTTCCTTCAGCTTTCATATGTGCAGGGCTGCACAAACTGCCTTGAAACTTCAGCACTAGAACTAGCAACCTTTGCTCTATAATCCTGTAGCTATACTTGGACTGTTGTTCTCCTTGCAGGTACTTTGAAGGGAATTACAACTTTATATCTAAGTTGCTGTTTTCAAAACCTTAAAACATTTTCTTCACAACAATCCTGTAGGCATGTCTTACAAGTATTACTGCTCTCATTTCACAGATGAGGAAACTATGGCTCAGCTACCTGGTGTAGTGGATTTAGAGACAGAAGTTCTAGCTTCAAATTTAGGCTCTGCTATTTATTACTCATGTGACTTTGGGAAAGAAATCAACCCTACCCCATCCCACACATCCCAGCAGTTTACTCATCTACAAAATGAAAGTTAAACTTGATTATTTCTAAAGTCCCTTCCAGTTCTAATCCTATGACTTTCCCAAGATCTCACAGCTAATAAAAATTACAGTCTTCAGGATTCCTGACTCCAAGATATTAGATCAAAGAAACAGAGGGGGAAACGATGTTAGAGGTAATTGAGTTTGACCCTGGTTTGACCAAGGTCACAGTGCCCAAACTAGGATTTAAACCTATGTCCTCCTAAGCCTTGACCTCTACAATCTATGCAACACAACTATTACTGTGCCTGTTCTCAAACTTTTCACATTGATCTATTTTCAAGACATTCTTTATACCCCACAGCTTATCAACTATCCTAAGAACCCAAGAACACATGGTTCAAATCCTGCCCTTGACATTCATTTGCTATGTGTCCTTTGGGAATTTCTGAGATTCAGTTTTCTGTAAAATGCAGATGATACTTGTGGTAATTAGTTCATAAGGTTGTGAGGATCATGTGAGATATATCAGACCTTTTCCAAACCTTAAACTATTACACAACCGTTCATCATTTTTTAGCATCAGCCCTCTTACTTCATGCCCACATAATTGAAAAGAGCTGAGGTTTCCATAATTATAAGCCTAGATCTCTCTCAGCTTTAAAACACTTTTGACTTGACCCTGCCACTGTTTCAAACGGCAGTTATATTCAAACGTCCTAGAAAAAGGTTACTGACATTCTTTGCCTTAATAGCCTCACCTCCCACCAATTTCTTACTCCCTTAGTCCTTGGTTCCTAACCCCACCATTTGACTCCAAATGCTACCTCCAAGGTATCCTAGGACTCAACTGCTAATCCCAGTGTCCTTTTCTCAGTCTTCATTCTTTGACCACTTCTGCTTTTGACTCTGTCAGACCTCTTCTTGAATTCTCTTCACTAGACTTCCATGACATGGCTGTCTCTTGGTTCTCTTCCTGTCTGACCATTTCTTCTGAAGTCTCCTTTGCTGGATCATCGTTGTCTTCCCTCCTACTAATCATGGGCATCCCCATCTAGAGGCTCTGTCCTGGCCCTCTTCTCTTGATAAATTGTCTCTTTTGGTGATATCATCAGCAACCATGGGTTCATCATTTCTATACAGATTACTCTGAAGTCTTATGTCCAGCCCTAAGCTCTCATCTGAAATCCATTCTGTCTTACCAACTGCCTACTGGACATCTACCCCTGGATGTCCAATCGATGTTTCAAATTCAAGCTATCCAAAAATGGAATCATTGTTATATTTCCTCCAGAACCCATTCCTCCTCAAAACTTCATTTCTGTTGAAAGTACCACCATTCTTCCAATTCGCAGGTTCACAATCTTGAAGTCAACCTTGGCTCTTCCCTCGCCCTCAATCTTTCCATCCAATCAGTTCTTGACATTGCTACAACATCTCTCCTATCCATTCCCTGCTCTCTGTTCACATAGCTGCTAACCTTTTGTCGAGGAGGCAGCTAATAGAGTGCTGGACCTGGAGTTAGGAAGACTGAAGTTCGAATTCAGTCTCAGATACTTTCTAGCTGTGTGACCTCGGGCAAATCACTTAACCTATTTGCCTCAGTTTCCTGAGCTGTAAAATGGGGACAGTAACAACCTCGACCTCTCAGGGCTGTTGTGAGAGTCAAATCTGTAAAGCACTTGGCTCGCAGTAGGTGACATATAAACGCTTATTCCCTCTCCCGGCCTAGTTTAGGCCCTCGGAGCTTCTTCCTTAGACGGTTGCAATGACCTCCTAATTGCTCTACCTGCCTCTAGTCTCTCCTCTTTTCCATCCATCCTTTTTCCCACGGCTGACAAAAGGATATTCCTTAACATGGACAGGCCCAAGTCACTCCTCTACTCAGAAATCTTCCACTCTTCCCTCTTGCTATTTTATCCCTACATTGCACAAAACGTAAATTCCTCGGCTTGGCGTCCATAATCCGTCTCCTCCTTACCCTTCCAGTCTTCCTTCATATCGCTCCACGAATTCCATTCCAGGCACACTGGCCTGCTAGCTGCGGCTCCCTGCTCTAGACCCTCCCCACCCCTTTCTGGCCTTTGCACAGGTGGTCCCCAACGTCTGCACCCCTTTCTCACCTCTCTTTCTTCGAAGCCCCTGCTACAAGAAGCCTTTTCTGATCCCTCCCGGGAGCTAAGCTTTTCCAGCTTTCTACATCGCTTTAGATTACTTTGTATCTAATGCACTTGGGTAAGCGTTAACCCCCAGCCCGGCTGCAGCACGGGAGCTCGAGGGGGCCGGGGCCGTTTCACTTCTGCTTTTGTATCCCGCAGCGCCTGGAGCAGAGCCCGTCACACAGTAGGCGCTTCATCCACGCTTGTCGTTAAACTAGAAGGCTTTAATCAGAAGACACGGGTGGCTGGATCCGAATGCGGCTCTGCTACGTTCTACGAGCGTGGCCCTCAGCCTTATCTGAAAACGGGAGTGAGGCCCCAGAGTATCAAAGGTCCCTCCCGCTCCAGAAGCCCTCCGTGTCCTCTGCCGCCTGCCTGCAGGTGGCGCTGCAGCAGCGCCGGGAGAACGCGAAAATAAGGAAACGCAATTGGGTTTGGCCTCTACGGAGTCCCGTAGCCGGGGCCCCAAGATGGCGACCACCCTGGATGTCCACGTCCGGATGTGCAACCAAGAAATTGTCATATTCGACTTGGAGGTGAAAGCGTTTATCCAGGTAGCGGGGCCCTGCTCGAGCAACCCCTTCCTCGCACTAGGACTCACATCAGAGCCCGGAGAAGCCGAGACCCTCGGGCTCGGTGCCTTCCCCTCCCGCGTCGGGGAAAGGCGGACAGAGCCACGTCTCTCGCACCCCCCTCCCCCACCCTTGGTTCAGGGCTTCTCGCGTCTCCCTCTCCCCCCTCCCGTTGGCTCCCCCCCTTCCCTCCCCGTTTCTCATTTCCTCGTGCGTTCCCCCCCGTTTCCATTGGTCCCTCGTGCCCCATCCCCTTTCGCTGGTCCATTTCCTCCTCCCCCGTTTCCATTGGTTTCGGCCCCTCCTTCGTTTCCAATGGTCCGCCGCAGCCTTCTCCCCCTCCCATTGGTCCTCGCCCTGTGTCCCCTCCACCTGTGTTGGTCTCTGATGCCCCGCCCCCCCTTCTCGCCTCTTCTTCCTGTGACTCGTTGTCTTCTAACTTCAGTGTAAGCTGCGTGCTCTGGGGTCGAGTGAAGCTAGGGACACGGGGTGGAGATGGAACTGAGGGGGGGTCCTGAGAGAGCATCTGCTTCAGCCCTTTCACTTCACAGCGGACCTGCCCGTATGCCCACACGCCTAGCGTGGCTAGGATTCCAGCCCGCATCTGGCGCTCTGGCTCGGCCTGGGGGCCGCCTGGTCCGTTCGTTTCAACCACAAATGTGTGTTCAGCCCCGCCCCGAGGGCCGGGCACTGTGCCTGGCAGATGGGCACAAAGACGATCCCTCATCGACTATGCAAGCAGTTATGTGCTTCCCACGTGCCAGGTGAATTGTGCCAATCTGTGAGGATACAAAGAAAAGCCAAAACGCAAAACCAGCGCCTGCCCTCCAGGGGCTTACATACTAACTGGGGAGACAACATGTAAATAAGGAAGAAGGGAAGTAACCTCATTGGGAGAGACTCACGTGGCTGGGTGGTTGTTGAGCAGCATGTCGAAAGAAGCAAGGGATGTTAAAGGCACAGTTGAGGAGGAGGAGCAGGAGCCTTCCAGACGTGGGGGGCACTCAGTGCAAAGGCACGGAGACAGAAAATGAATATATTCTGGGAGAGCTACCTAGCAGGCCATTGTACTTGAAGTACAGAACTCATGGAAAGGAGAAAACTGGAAAGGTGGGGAGGGCCAGGGTGTCACAAGTCTTCAGTGCCCAACAGAGAACTTTATACTTGGTTCTGGAGGTAGTAAGGAGCTACTGAACATTGTGGAGGCATGGGGGTGTGTACAGACCCGTTGGTCAGGCCTGCACTTTGGGAAAATCACTTTGGCAGCTGTGTGGAGGATACGGTGGACTCTTAAGAGACGTGAAGCATGGAAACCAGTTGGGAGACTATTGCAGTTTAAGCGAGGAGTGATGAGAGCCTCAACTAGGATGGTGACCTAAGCTGTTGTTTGTCCTTCGTTCCTCTTGAAGAGGAGCATAACATCAGGAAGGAGATGTTGTGATTTGCCAGTGAATCGGATTAAAGTGAGGGAGGGCTGTGCTAGGTCACCAGCCTCACTTTCTCCTCAGGAGCCATCTGGGTCCAGTGGCCAGATATAGATCAAGACATCTAGAGATGGCCCCCCCGGATGTTGACTTATAGAAGAGATGCTAAGGTAGAAACAAGATTTGGCACCTGATTGGATATATGGGGTGAGGGAGAGGGAAGAGTCCAGGAGGACACCCAAGGGAGATTGGTGGTTCACTCAGCAGTAATAGAAAAACACAATGAAGTAATCACTGTCTTCCGAGTCATCAAGTGTTTATTAAGTGCCAGTTATATGCCAGACACCTTGCTAAGTCTGGGGATACGAAGAAAGGGAAAAAAAACCCAAACAATTCTTGCTCTCCCAAGTTCACAGTCTGATGGGGGAAATAACATGCAAATGACTTATGTGTAGACAAGATACATACAGGATAAACTAGAGATGATCTCAGAGGGAAGGCACTAAGATTTATTAAGGATTCTTTCTGAAGGTAGGACTTTAGCTGAGATTTGATGGAAGCCAAGAGACAGAAATGAGGATGGAGTGAGTTAGAGGCTTGGAAGATAACCAGTGAAAATGGTTGGAGTTAGAAGATGAGTGTCCTGTTCAGAGAACAGCCAAGAGGCCAGGGTCATTGGATGGTACAGTATGTGAAAGGGCGTAAGATATAAGAAGACTTTAAAGGTATTTGACACTCGTTCATGGGTAGCCGCCGGAGTTTATGGAATGGGGAGTGATGTGGGCAAACCTGCATTTTAGGAAGACCAATTTGACAGTTGAGTAGAAGCAGGACTGGAGTGGGAAGAGACTTGAAACAGGGTGTCTGCCCTGAAAAACCAACCAGACAGGAGGTGATGGGGGTCTGCACCAGGGTGGTTGCAGTGTCAGGGGAGAGAAGGAGACAATGGGAGAGATGATGCAAAAGTAGAATTGACAGGACTTGAGAACAAATTAGATATGGTGAGTGAGAGTGAGTGAGGAGTTGAGGATGACACCCTGGGTTTCAAGCTTGAGTCCCTGGGGTGATGGTGGTACCCTTGACAATTAATAAGGAAATTTGGAAGCTGGGTAGGTTTGGAGAAAAGATAAGGAGTTCAGTTTTGGGTATGTTAAGTTTAAGATGTCTGTGGAACAACTAATTTATCCAGTAGACAGTTGGAGATGTAAGCCTGGGGATTTGGAGAGACGTTGGAGCTGGATAAGTAGACCTGAGACTCATCAGCATAGAGATGATATTTGAATTCATGGGAGCTGATGAGATCACCAAGTGAAATGCAGTAGAGAGGAGGACTCAGGAGAGAACTTTGGGAGGAAACCCAGTTAGTGAGAGCAAACTAGATGAAGATCCAGCAAAGAAGACAGAGAAGGAGAGGTCTGACAGGTAGGAGGAGAACCTGGAAAGAATAGTGTCACAAAAATCTAGAGAGAAGATAGTACCCAAGAGAAGAGGGTGATTGAAGTATGGAAGGCTGCAGAGAGGTCAGAACGGATGGGGATTGAGAAGAGATCATTAGATCTGGCAAGTAAGACATCACTGGTAACATTGGAGAGTTTAATGATGATATTGAAAGCCAGACTGCAGAGAGGTAAGAAGAGAGTGAGAGGAAAAAACTTGGAGACACCAAATGTAGACAGTCTTCTTGAGGAGTTTAGCCACAGAGAGAAGAGATATAGGATGATAGCCAGCAGACCTGGATGGATCAAGTGATGGTTTTTTGAGAATAGGGTAGATGTGAGTATGTTTGTAGACAGTGTGAAAATAGCCAGGGTATGGGAAGAGATTGATGATAAATAATAGAGTAAGGATGATAAAAAGGGCAATCTGCCAGAAAAGATAGGGTGAACTGAGTACACGTGTACATTTAGAGAGGTTCGCTTTTCTTTATATCCTTAGTTCCTGGCACGTAGTGATTATAAAATTCTTGCTGCCTGACTTACTGATCAGTGCAGTACTGGAGCTGTCCATCTCTTGCTTTTCTTCTTTGACAGACCTACTTCCCTTTGCAGTGATACATGTATTTGGATGTTGTCTTTCCATACCATTTCTTGTTTGCAGATCATACTGGTTAGGGGTACAGCTTACTGCAGTAGTGTAGTGGATAGAGTTTTGGGCCTAATTTCAGGAAGACTTGAGTTCGAATGTGGCCTCAGGAACTTAATAGCTGTGTGACCTTAGGCAAATTGATTAAACTCTTATTTCCTCTGTTTCCTTATCTGTAAAATAGAGATAATGATAGCATTTACCCCCCCCACCCCCCAAGGTGGTTGTGAAGATGAATTGAGATCATATTTGTAAAGTACTTTGCACAGTACCTGGCATATAATAAGTGCTATATAAATGCTAGCTATTATTATTATTTCTATTATTACTTGTTATTATGCTTACCATATATCTCTGTGCTATCCCCAGAGTCACCATCAATTTTGAGTTTTTAGAAAAGGAGGCATTTTCTAATACAGTTGCAGATTTTGTGTTTAATGTACTGAGTGGGTCTGTGAGCCAAAAATGAAGAAACTAAATGCTTTTTGTTATCACTGTTTTCCTATGGTCATTCTATGCCTCAGTTTTACTCAATTTTATAAATTCTAAGTATGGTGACTAGATTTTCTGAACCAAAAATCAGCATACATGGCTGACAATTTTTTTTCTCATTTTTTGAGGCCAGGACTTTGATTCAAAATCTGAGGTGTGATTGTCATAACTGCATTTGACAGTTCTTCTGATCGTTTCTGTGTTTATGCTAGAAAAGTGAGTCTAGTGTTAATTCTGATAAAATTGCGTTCTGCCTTGAACAACATGGATTAGTTCAGTTGATTTCATTCATGGTTGTGGGTTCTCATAAATGCTGGTGAATAACCAAGTGCTTTAGTTGTATAAGCCAAGCCAAGCCAAGCCAACAACTCCAGACGTTGTTAAATAAATTTGAAACACGCCCTTTGAAGCTTCTGCAAAACATCGCAGTCATATTTGTTGGAAGAGTTTTGGTTTCTTTGTTGTCGTTGTTGTTTTGGTGGAGATGGAGTGAGTGGGGTGGGGTGAGCATCAGGATTGAAAAAGAAAGAAAGAAAGAAAGAAAGAAAAGAGGGCCATTGAAATCGAAGAGAACAAAAAGCAGGCCAAGACAGACGTGAAAGTCATATGTTGACGTGAATCGGTGCTCAAGGAAAAAGTGAGCTGTACGTAATTGAGATTCACAGTTTTATGTGTGATCCTTTTTTTTTTTTTAGTTTGTACATATGGAAATGCTAATGTTGTTTGGTTTGGTCAGGTTCAGAAGAACATTTAAAACTGCAGTGCATTCTGTGAGATTCATGAAGAAGGTTTTGCGTGTTTTGTTTAGTTACTGTGTTAGCATTTTACACTGAGCCATTTAAGAGAGTCTTCATCTTTGAAGTACCTATTTCTTTGTCATGTCTAGTCTGTTGTATTCCAGCCAGTTGCTTTCACTTTTACTAAAACTTAAGATTCTTGTACAGTAGTGGAAAAAGCACCGGGCTTGCAGTCAAAAGCCATAGCTAGATTCAAGTCCCACCTATGAAACTCAGTAGCTGTGTGCCCCTAGGCTAGTCACTTTACCTCTCTGAGCCTGAGCCTCAGTTTCTTCATCTGAAAAATGAGGACAATAATAATGCATTACCTAGCTAAACAGGATTGTGAAGAAAGTGCTTGTAAACCTGGTGGCCCTTGTGTTACTGTTGTTATGTTACCTGGCTTGTGTTTCGATCAATGCTCGGGGCCAATAGCTATGTCAAGTGAGAGTAGTTTGTCCTTTGTCTTTTCCCCAAAATATTAAATTTTGAGAATAATTGACATGACATTTTGAATTATCTTGCTTCAGAGAGGAAAATAACTAAAACCAGGTAGACATTCAGGTCTGGAGGCATGGAATCATAGCCTGTTTGAGGTAGAAGATGCCTCAGAAAGCTCTCTGGCCAGCAGTTCTTTTACTTTTTGTTCTCAGGATTCCTTTATGCTCATAAAAATTATTGAGGATCTTCTTCTCCAAAATACTTTTATGTGGGTTATATTTACCTATACATGCCATATTAGAAATGAAAGCATCTTAGTATTATTATGAAAATAGTCTGGATCTCAAAGACTCTCCTAAAAGGGTCTGGGGACCTCTAGGAATACCTAGACCACTGATGTAGACCAGCCTTCTCATTTTACACATGAAGACACAGAAGAGATGCTTCATTTCATTGAATTGAGAGGAAAGCACTCCTATTTCTCCCGGTTTGGTTTTGTTTTGTTTTAGGATATCCGGGATTGCTCAGGACCATTGAGCACGCTTACAGAGCTAAATGCCAAAGTGAAGGAGAAGTTTCACCATTTACGGCTCAGAATACAGGTGAGCAGCCACTGAACCAGGGGCCTGTTGATGTGTTATAATGAAGGTGGCTGTTTTCTGGAGATCAGCAGAGACAGCGATGAAGGTTTAAAATGGTATCCTCTTTACATACTAGCAAAGGTCTGGTAATTTCAGTTCTATATGACTTACTATAAAAATAAGATAAAAAACACAGCCATATGCAGCCTTCCTCTTGTTCCAAAACCAAGTTGGACACATTCATTCCTTATATTTTTTGCTGCTAATTTCCAGGTGTCTCTAACCTAGTTTTGGTTAGAATTAGCATATAAGCCAGATAGAAGGCTTGTTTCCTGGATGTTGAGTATGTCATACATCAAATCAAATGTTTTACTTACTCCCTTTCTTCCCCCTGAAAAAGATGTGCTGCCAGAATTTTCCTGGCAACCAAGAGTTTTCAAGTCGTTAGGAAAATGAAACATTAAAGAATTACCATGATAAGGGCTTCCTTCCCCTGTCTCACATAAGTGGTGTTGATTTGTTATGTGTATGAGAATCTGCCTGTTTGTATATGTGGTTCTGGCTCTCAGACTGGGCTAGAGGAGTTGCCTTCACCTCCCTTCTCTTCCCAGAACCATCCTGAGTTCTCTGATACTGTTCCCACATACAAGTGATCCTCCTTGGCTCCTGATTTTTATTGGCTTGCTGTAGCAGCCACAGCCCTTTTAATCATAGAACTTAGAGCTTGAAGAGAGCTTGGAGATCATCCAGTACAATCCTGTCATTTATCAGGTGACAGAACTGAGGTCCAGAGAGCTTTATATGACCAGCTTTGTTAGAACGCATGGTCATCTGTTGTCAGATGGCTGGTGTCTGTTGTTATACCCTTCTCCTTTCCTTCCCACGTGTTTCCCCTTCAGTTTTTAGGGTGAAGACTCCCCAACTCCCAAAACCTTACTGTGTTTTCCTCTTCCCCTGCCTTGTTTAGTTCTCAGCATTACTCGAAGGAGAGCCGAAGAAAGTCAGTGGTTTGGAAGTAACCCTCTGAGTCAGTACAATATCAATTCAGACATTGAAATATTTGGGAAGTCGTTCCAAGAAAATCCCACATATCATGAAGAGACAAATGAACATAATAAAACTATCATTTGGACTACATGAATTCTATTCCTGACTCTTCTGCCAACTTGCCGTATGACCTTGGGCAAGTTACTTCCCCCTTCTAGGCCTCAGTTTCTTTATTCATAAAATGAGGGGGTTGATCCAGATGATGGTCCCTTCTGACTCTATAAAGTGGTACAAAGGGGAAGCTAGGTGGCACAGTGGATAGAGTACCAGGCCTGAAGTCAGGAGGACTGAATTCAAATGTGACCTCAGACCAGACACATGACATTTATTAGCTGTGTGACCCTGGGCAAGTCACTTAACCCCTATTGCCTCATCCAAAAAACAAGATAATGGTACATAAGAGACTACAACATTGACTTCCATACTTATGATGAACCTGAAAGTTAATTTTTTCAAGTAAACGTGAGTGACTTAGGGCATAAGAAGTGAATGTGGGCAACAAGGAGATGTACTTTTCGTTGAATTTTTGATAGCGTGTATTGATGCAAAAGTTTCTGTAGACCAGGGACTCCTAGCAGTAGTTTTGTGGCCTTCTCTTAGGGCTAGGGACTGGACCTGCGATTTCAGGAACTTAGGAAACTCTGTATATCAGCGTGAGCGGACACTGTCTCTACAATGGTCTTAAAGAGTTGCCCAGCATTCTCTAAGAAGCTAAGGGGCTTTCTCAGGGACCCACAGCCGGGATGTTAGAGGGATAGGCTAATAGCTTCTGGCTCTGAAGCCAACTCTAGCCAGGAAGCCATGCTGTCAATTCGTCTTAATTAATTTTAATTTGTAAAGTGAATATATGTCATACGCCAACCTAGGAGAGGACTCTTAAAGAGACAGTAGTAAATTACAATTTCCAACTTTAGGGATAGCAACAAATAGAACAAAAGTGTGTCATCAGTTGTCTTTCATAGCTTGCTGCTTGTTATTCAGTAAGTGCTTTATACACATCTGTTTCCCACTCAAGGAGTATCAGAGGGGTCCAGTAATTTTCTGAATTCCACAACTGTAATACATTTTATGTTGTTTTTAAAGAATGAATAGCTTTAAAATTTTTCACATACAAGTATTTTCGCCTAAAGGAGCTTGAGCAGATGGCTAAAGAACAGGATAAAGAATCTGAGAAACAAGCTTTGCTCCAGGAAGTTGAGAATCACAAAAAGCAGCTGCTCAGGTAGGTGAAATCATTGCCTTCCTCTGTTGTATCCATGCTGTGGATCGGAGGTTCTGTTGGATTAACTCATTGATCGGCTTTGTCCATGTGCTAGGACAGCCAGGGGGTGGAATTCTGCCTCAGACAGTTACCAGCTGTGTGACCTGAGCAAGTCACTTAATTGCTTTTTGCCTCAATTTCCCCATCTGTAAAATGGAGGTAACAGTAGAACCTGTCTCCCAGGGGTGTTCTGAGGCTCTAATGAGAAAATAATTGTGAAGCACTTAGCACGGTGCTTGGTACCTAGTGGATGCTTTATAAATGTTACTTCTTGTTGTTACTAGGTGGCGATTTAATTGTGTTTGTGTATCATATGAGTTCCTTCCATCCCCATACTGACAGGAAATTCCTTCACTGTGCAAAAGTAACTGGGTAAATTATAGAAGAGAGAAAAGAACAAGGTGTCATAGTAGAGTAGTTGCCTTATTAGAATGTATATTGATCCACCAGAAGTCACATTAACCTGATTTTTTTTTAGCCATAATGTTTATTTGCAAACACTTTTAAATATAAAGTTTTGCAAAATTACAATGATCAGTCCAGTTGGTTTGAGCATGCTGCTAAGGAGGCCAGAGTCACGGGTTTGATTCCCAAATTTAATTTTTCTAATACTTCATGGTCAGAGGCCTTAACTTAGGCAACTGTTTTGTAGATTCAAACTCTTTAGCCAAAAGGAGGTTTGAATGACAGATTGTGGATAAACCATTTCAAAGTCACTCCATTATGTGAAAAAAAAAACCAAAACAACTCATGCTATACACCCTCTGGACTCTAAAAGGAAGTGATTACCCAATTCTAAATCTCATGATCCTGTTCTCTATTGATGGTAGCACAATGGCATGAGTTTTGCATGAAACTCAACATCATGAAACATGAAGGAGGAATGGATCTTTGGGATTTTTTTTCTCTTTTGACCTTTTGAGGCGGTACAATAAGGGAACAAATCTTCAGATGCTGATTCTGTGTTCTTCTCTGCATTGATGCTGAATGATGTCAAATGGACGGGCTTAGAGTGAGATGAGGGCAGGGAGGCCAGCCTGCTTCTACCATTGCTTTGCATGAATTGCTTGTATTCACTGAGAGACTTGGCAGCTTATTATCACTGAAGAGTGCATCTGTTTTTTTGATTCCAGCAATCAGACTGCATGGAGGAAAGCAAATCTTGCTTGTAAAATTGCAATTGACAATTTAGAAAAAGCAGAACTTCTTCAAGGGGGTGACATGAGGCAGAGGTAATAATGCTTTTTATCATTCTTTTATATATGGCTCTTACCTGTGCCATTTTAGTGGTTTAGATCAGAAGTAGCAAACTCACAAAGGTTGCAAACCCCTAAAAACTCCAGAGGGCTACCAGAACCAGATTAAAATGTAATTGGGAAGTATTTAACAAAATTTAAATATATATATATATATATATATATATATATATATATAAAATGCAATATAGATACGGTTACTCTGTGGATTTCTAAGTCTGTATGGTGCCTGTAGGGATCTGTTTCTATTTGAGTTTGACACCACTGGTTCAGACGACCTATGAACTCTCGTTATTCAGAGACCTAACATGTAATTATTAGAGGAAATATATTCATTGCTGGAGGAAACAAAGTTTAGATAAGGTGTAGTTCCTGTCTTCTTGGAGCTCTCAGATATTAAACCCTACCTTCAGGAATCTAGTTTCTTGTGACTGACATTTTTCATCCTCCTCTTTATAGAAAAACTACTAAGGAGACCCTGGCACAGACTTCCAGCAACATCACAGAAAGCCTGATGGGCATCAGCAGAATGATGTCCCAGCAGGTTCGTCAGAGTGAAGAAGCAATGCACATTTTAGGTAAGACCAGAGCGAGGGTCAGGAGACTTATTCGTTCTCAGGAGCTCGATTGCCTAAGATAGTTATTGATCTGAGGCTCTTAAATACATTTTCAGCTAACCTCTCATGGTCTCTGGGGTTCATAAAATTACAAAGTGAGTTTTAGAGCTTTATCATATTTGAGGAGTTTAAAAAACAATGAGAGAAGTCATAATATAGTTGTTATAAACTGCTGCCTAGACTGCTGGGACATCTGCTTTGGATCTCACTGGGAAACTCTTTGTAAGTAAGAAAATCAGAAACTCTAGAAGGGCGCATTAAAATAGGCCAGTAGCGACAGGTTTTTTACTCCCAGGAAAATTACGAAAGGGAAGTCTCTTCATTGGTTCTTTTAAGTCCTGTTTCCCCCAGGACGGCATTTCAGTCGTCAGACTTGTACTTTGTCCTCAGAGTGATTCTCTGAGATCACGAGTCCTGTACCAGACACTGGCATTCTTATTGTGCACTTGATATTGAATACTGTAATGGGAGCACTGCAGAAAGGTGCAGAGGAAATAGAAGATGCCATCTTTGCCTTCGAGAAATTTGCAATCTCATGAGGCTTTTTTTTTTTTGGCGAAGCAGTTGGGGTTAAGTGACTTGCCCAGAGTCACACAACTAGTTAAGTGTTATGTGTCTGAGGCCAGATTTGAACTCAGGTCCTCCTGACTCCAGGGCCGGTGCTCTCTCCACTGTGCCACCTGGCTGCCCCCTACACATTTTTTTTTAAAGGAAGTGGTATTGGCATTCCTACCGGTGAGGTACAGCCATTCCATTCCTGGCTGCTATAGTAAGCCATGCTTGGCCGTCAGAAAGGGAATCACATTGTTTTCTGCTGTTGCAGTCTGGTCATTCCTTGAATCTTGACCTTCAGTAGGAGTTGCCATGTGACTCAAATCATTTAAAGTTCATTTAAAGTAAAAGCTGCCAGGTGTGAGAGAAAGGTCCCAGGCTATGTGTGGTCTCATTCCTGGCTCCTCTCAGTCTCATTTCCAGCTCTGCAGGCAGGTGCTCCAGTGCAGTGCTGTTCACAGCAGCCTAGCCCGCATGATGTCCACTGAGTACAACCTCCTGCTTTTGTTTCAGCAAATTCTTCTCGAACTATCCTGGATGCAAATGAAGAGTTTAAGTCTATGTCAGGAACTATCCAGTTGGGACGAAAGCTCATCACAAAATACAACCGCAGAGAACTGACAGACAAGCTGCTTATTTTTCTTGCTCTTGCTCTCTTTCTGGCTACTGTACTTTATATCCTAAAGAAGAGGCTTTTTCCATTTCTGTAAGATTCATAAGACCATCTTTCCTTTTAACAACCCGCTGTGAATCCTCTGTTCCTCTGAGTTCAGCTCAAGCTACACGGATGTCAGGTGTGTTTATTCAAATTGCTCAGTATCTCAAATGGAAATGCCCTGGGTTTGCCAGCACTCTTCCATAAGGGGCAAGAGAGAAGATTGTAAAGGAAACATTGGCTGGGAAAGCTTACAAAGCCATGGAAAATCTGAGCTTTCCAGACCCATGATCTGCTCTGACTAAGCCGTTTAATGAGTACCCGATATATGTCCTGGGGCTGCCTTCATGTGTTTGACAGACAGCTCTACTTCCTTCCCTCCCTCCCACCTAGAGTGCCTTGAGTTCTAGATTGGAAAGAACTAAAAGGAAAGAAAGATGAGATGGGAAGAAAGACCATAGATTTTTATCCGTGACTACTTGATGAATTAGATAGTATTATTAGAACAAAATGCAATCTTATTGGATAAAATGTCACTACAGGACTATACAAACTATTTGTCTTTATGTTGAAATTCTCCTAGATTCACTTCATGAACTTTTAGAAAGACCCCTTCTTATAGTTGCCATGATGAGGCTAGGCCAGGGGTATGCAGAACAGATTAATAGTCTGCCCCACTCTGTAAACTCATCATCTGAAAGGTTTGAAGCTAAGTATGACCAAGGAGAGCAAGATGGGGCTAGGAAGTCACAGAATATTCATGTCTTGCCTGGTCCTGAATTCAGACCTGGCTGGCCTTTTGCTCCCTGGTACCAGCTCTCTTTCAATAGCTTCAGGCTCAGAAGTGAGGCAGGGGCAGCTAGGTGGCACAGTGGATAGAACACTGGCCCTGGATTCAGAAGGACCTGAGTTCAAATCCGGCCTCAGACACATAACGCTTACTAGCTGTGTGACCCTGGGCAAGTCACTTAACCCCTTTGCCTAGCCAAATCTTAAAAAAATAAATAAATAAAAGAGAAGTGAGGCTGAATGGAGCCTGAATGGAGCATCCCCCTACCCTGCTGCTGCCATCTCTAGGGCTGCCTGGAACCCATAGCATCTCCAAGTAACAATAGCCAAGGGGGCTCAGGAGCAGGCTAGGCCAAGGCAGCAAAAGCACTGTTGCATGGTAATTTTGGCATTAGTGGTTACAAGGCATTGTTTGAAGAAGCTATGAGAAAGCAGTGTTTCTGGAAACCTGGACAAGAATCGTGCCATGTCATACAAATGTAAGTCATTAGCATCATCATGAGACCCAGTTATCAACCCACCTGTAGCTTCTATGGTAAAGTCTGTAAAATCATTATTGATAAAATTTGCCTCTGGCTCCATAAGCCACACAGCATCTATTATGAGGGTTACTGTGTCTCAGTCAGATATTTATTATTCATTCATTATGTTCTGGTGAGAGAGAGAGAGAACTATTTCTAGAGAATATATACATATACACAGGGATATGCTGCTCACACACACACACACACACACACACACACACACACACGCACACACAGTATATACCTGACAACTTTGCTGTTTAAGCTGACAGGAATGGCTCAACTCAGGAACAAAGCTTACCTAAGTGGTTGTCAAAAGGAAAAAGATGGCCTTTTAAATCTTATAAAAATGGGAGGAAAGCGTATGTGTAAACCTGTCTGATAGACTCTGTGTATATGTATGTGTGTATGTGTATATACACATGTGCATGTATATTTACACACACCTTTCATACTTTTACTAGCCAGTAAACAATGTAAAGGCATGATTGGTTTTTATGTAACAGTAATTTTTTAAGTGATTGAATAAGACATAACACTGAATCCTTCACAGTGTGTATGTATGTATATGTGTATCTATATAACATGTATATATTTTCAGATATAGTCTCCGCTAAAATCTTGTTGTCTCATGGCATAGAGTGACCTGGGCCATTCCAGGGTAACACACACTTTTGTACCAAACTGGAAAGGCTTTGACTTTGGGTCCACTCTCACCAAATGGAGAGACGCATTGCTAGGAGGTTGGCCAACAGGTAGTGAATTTTCCTTCCAGCCACAGCAACTCCTTAAGATCTACTGAGGCATGGAGGGATTGTGATGCATATGTGTTACTGAAGAACCCCCTCTGCGCAATATTGATGACATCACAAAATCCTTGGAGAAATCACTTAAACTTTTTGAGCCTCAGTTTCTTCATCTGTAAAATGAGGATAATTACATTTATACTTTCTACCTCACTACAGGGTAGCTATGAGAAATGAGAATTACCTTCAAGTCCTGTGAGAGCACTTATTCTTGAAGTAAATATATATATACACACACACACACACACACACATATACATGGTTTTGGTTTTGTTTTTCTTGTTTTAAAAATGGGAGAGGAAGAGAAAATAAGTGCTTGTTAATTGAAATGAAATAAAAGTTTTTAAATGGACATATAATATGGGAATATAATTTGCACATATACTACATACATAATTTCAAGCTTAGAATTGAAGAATAGATGGAGAATTCTCCATCTGACTCCCGTCATAAATGTAGCAGAAAGACATCGAATAAGGACTTTGTATTCTTAAAGTTTTCTTCCCTACTTAACTATTGTTAATACCCTAGAGACCTAGAGGTGTTCATGTTTCACATTTCCTGGTCTTATTCTTTTACATTAGACAGAATGACATTTAGTTTCCTTGGGGACCAGAACTGAACCCTGTTTTCAGGAAATGCCCCTGATGTTATCATAGCTTACACTTTGCATGCAGGTTGAGTCAGGGTACCAGATTTAAAATCAGCTTCCCAATTCTGGACAGAGCTAGCCCAATTCCATACACATCCAGCAGAGGGCAGTGTTTCACACCCACTTGCTCAGGAAGATTCTGTGAAGTGAGATAGATATACTACAGTCAAGTCTTAGAACTGGAAGGTGTTTAGGGGTTGACTGGTCCAACCTCTTCATTTTCCAGATGATATTGTATAAAGGTTACTATTTAACGAAATATTATTGTGCTGTAAAAGATGACACCTATGATGAATACAGAGAAGCAGGAAAAGACTTACGTGAACTGATGCAAAGTACAACAAGGAAAGCCAAGAAAACAAAACCACACAGTGATTACCGCAACGGCAGCGGGATAAACCCACCAGGCGACTGAAAACGCACGTTGCGAAATCACGAACAGCCAACTTGGCTCCAAGAAGCGATATTAGAAGACACCTCCTCTTCTTTTCAGGGGGGAGGCAGTTCCAGGTGTGGAATACTGCATATAATGTCATCTTTTTTCAATGTATTGATCAGTTTTGCTGATTTTTTCTCTTCCTATTGTTTTTTTTTCCTAAAAATAAGTATTATAAAGGATAGCTCTCTGGGAGTGGGGATTGGGAGGGATGTAAGGGGAAATTTAAGTAATATAAAAAAGATAATCAATAAAAATCTGTTTTAAAAAGAAGACCTATAGGCTCTCTCCAAAGCTGGTCTTGAAAAATGTACTGTTTGTCAAAGGTATGCTTAATATCTGATGTGACAAAAGTATGGTTTCATGAGGAAGATGTAAACAGTGCTTCAACATCTTGCTTACTCTGCCAAATTGTATAAGATAATTGGCTACAAAGGGATGTGTAACATATTAAAAATTTTTTTCAAGGTGTTAAGATATTGTGAGCATTCAACTTTATATTTTTATGAATGTATACATCTCTGATTCTTTTCATTCTTGGGGGAAATTCTTTTGAAAATGACTTTGTTTTTGATAATTGGACCATGCAATGCAATCATATAGTTTGGTAAACAGTCATAGAATTAAATGTCTGGAACATATCCCAGGATTTTGCACTGAATTTTTCTGTTGCTAGAGCTACTTAATACCTGCGTGATCTAAGTCAAATCACTTAACCTCTTGGGGCCTCAGTTTCCTCATCTATAAAATGTGGAGATTGAATTAGATAATCTCTAAAATCCTTTCTAGCTTTATGATCGTAAATCATCCAGGACAGTGAAGTACCAAGGGTATTTTCAAGTTTCTAGAAGAAGGTTTTCCAGTATTCAGGAAGCCATTCGTTTTCACCATCATAAAAAAGTTTGTCTTAATTAGGAGCCTGCTGGATGTAAGGCACTGTGTGAAGCGCATACAGAAATAATACTGAGTCTCTGCCCTCAAGCACGTGGTCCCCTTTTTTTGTGGAGATGTTCTCTTTTCAGGTGAACCATAAGTCAGAAAAAAAAACAAATAAATGTTGGGGATGATAGAAGCACAGCAAAAGTTTCCAGTTGAGAGAGATCACCTCTAGCTGGGTGAGTTGGGAGGTAAGATTCAGTCTGATAGTATTTGAGTAAGTGAGAGGAAGTGTGATTCATGTGAGCTATATGTATGTATGTATTGCTTTAGAGAAAGTCCCTTCACTTCAAGCCTTAGTTTCCGTACTACTTTGGTGAGGTGATACGATAGATAGGAAAGGGCCCTGGACTTGGAATCTTAATGCTCTGGGTTCAAAATCCAGTTCTGCCTCTTACTACCCATGTGACCTTTTGCAAGTTAGTTTTTCTCAGCGTTGATTTTCTCATGTTTACTGTGTAACGAAGAGATTGGACTGCAAGGCTCCTAAGGCAGCTTTATGTCTGTAGTCAGTTATCACATCTGCTTGGTTTGATGGGCAGGGTTCAGGGTAGAGTCTCCTGCCCTGCCTACAAAATGGAAATATCATTCCTATTTTCACCTACCTCACAACAGTGTTTTAAAGATAATGAGTTTCAGTTCATGGCATGATGATGTCTGATACCAAAATAAGTTGGCTCTTTAGGGAAAGACTCCCTTTGAGATTAGCAAAATAGTTTTCCTTATTCCCAGTGTCTTAGGATATACAGATAGTTCTATCTTCACACTAGACCTTGCGTGGGGTTTTATACAGAGCGGCTGATCCTGTGTTTCCTTTCTTAATGTAAGGGCAGTGTAAAAATAGCTGAGGGCTAATCTAAGAGATACTGGGAGCAGAAGTCCCAGCAGTGCTATAAGGAATGATGGAGTGTAAACTGTCTTCTTTGGGACTTTGAATGGGTT